TTTCCTCTCTCTTTGTTACCTTTCCTTTCTTTTTTTCTCCACCCTATAAAACATGCAGACTCTCACTTTCTGCATGCATAAAAGAAAGGCAAAGAAAGATGTGGCAATTCTAAGACTAATTCCTATATTTTAATGTAAGCTTTCATAGAACAAGCCCATCTATCAACAAATTTAAGAGAGCAATCCAACAGAGATCTTTGGGGAGGAAAGTGACCATTTATAAGGGTCATAGCTTACTTTATAAGACCTTGCGAAATTCTCAAATTCTATCTCTGGCCCTAATATGGTAACTAGGAAAGCCAATTAGATTTGCATACACCTGGGAGGCAGGAAAGTTTTGAGGGTCGGATCATACTTCCGCACTATTAAAGTGCAGGCCAGGTAGGTGGGGCTCGTCAGGCATGGCAGGCAGCCCATCTACGAGAAGGAAAATTCTGATTTCAAACCTCCACTCCCTTGTGGCTATATCCACTCATGGAAAAGGCTTCAGGAGTTAACATAGAGGCAAAATCCAGAGCTGGAGTTCCAAAGGCAGTTCGTTTCGTTCTGCCAACTCCTGCGACGTCGCTGAAACCAGTTGTATTGGCTCTTGCCTTTCCATTGGACCATTTCAGCAAAGTGGGGAGGGGGGAATCTGTTGCTTGGGTAACAGCCTATCCTCCATATTATTTTACCCAGGCTTCATGCTCTGGAGAGGACACTCCTCGATTCAGAGCATCTTACCATAGTCTCTAGAGACTAAAGGATGCCTATGCTATGTCCAGCTCCTGAATGACTTGGCAGAGTACAGAAAAGTGGGGAGCTAAAATGGTGCTCCCCTCCCCAAGCAGTGTATCTTAGTTCTCTCATTTTGCCAGCAGTGTTTGGAAGGGAGCATACGCAGCTCCAGATTGGCTGACCTGACAAAATGAGAGGTTTTTCAGGAAAAGCAAACCTGGGAAGCAATATCTCCTCTCTGGTCCACAATGGCCAGTCCTCATTCAGTCTTCATCCTCCCTTCTGTTTTGTAATTTGTTTGCTTATGCTACCAGATGCAAGAATGTATGATGAGGGAAGGGAACTTCCTCCTTTGTCACAATTTTATTGGTGGTTTGGGGAACTAAGCAGGACAGGATGCCTACTCTGAACACCTCCCCCCTTCATGTTTTTTGAGACTCTCTTTAAAGGAGCTGGGGGATAAGGCACTGGCCAGACCCAGCTTGAGGACTGAAGGCCCTGCCTTACTCCCAGGTGACAGGGCAGCCACAGAGTGGGGATGTGCCAGTACGGAATGCTGGCTCTGCTAGTCCATGGGCACTTTTTAGCACACGTACTGTGTCTAGTTTGGGTCATCAGGTTGACAAGTGGATCATTTGATCTTTCCCATACACTGAGGTACTTACGTGTAGGCCAATAAAGTTGTGGCCTTGTTCCATCCAAAAACATTAGGTACACATTAATAAGCCTACCCTGGTATTAAGATGATCACAAGAGCCCTTTCTCCTAGACCCATCGCACTTACAGACACATTTACTGGGGACAGAGGAGAGGGCCTTCTCTATTGCCTCCCACAAGAGTCCTATTGCCTCCCACAGGAGCCCCAACTTTGCTGTTCTTGTGCAAGCAGACAGGGACTTTTCCCTTCAGATAACCTTTCCTTTAAATTATTAGTTGACCAAGGGGATATTTTTTAAAGAGAATGTTTTATTCTGTTGTGTTACTTCAGTTCCCTGTTTCGGGAACCGATTTTCGATTTTCAACAATCAAAAACAGCTGATTGTCGGGTTTTCAAAATGGCCGGCGGTTGCTTAAAATGGCTCCCCGCTGTGCTTAGGGATGGATTTCTTGCTATACAGGCACCGAAAATGGCTGCCATATGGAGGATCTTCGCTGGACGGTGAGTTTTTAGCCTATTGGAACGCATTGAACAGTTTTCAATGCATTTCAATAGGTTTTTAAATTTCGTTTTACGATGTTTTCATTTAACAGCGATTTTCCTGGAACAGATTATTGTCGTTAAGTGAGGCACCACTGTCTTGGGTCCTTTAGGAGAAAGGTGGCATATAAATATTTTAAATAAATAAATAATA